ACAAACTGAAGAGAAAATACTTTTGATAAATATCTGCATATTTGTCATTTTCGAGACTTACTGCCCTGGAGGACTCTGACAGCTAAAAAATGTTTTAAAAATTTAATTTTGAAAAAAATACTGTTGAAAATGATTTGATGTGTGAAGCAAAACTTTCACAGCTTTCATTATAGAAGTTCAAAATGTTTTAGGCAGATCAGAGACGGTTGTGCAGAAATTGTTTTAAAAAACAGCTGATTTGACCTGAAATCAAGTTTGTCTGGGAATTAAAAGAGGGACAAAAACAGCAGAATCAAATAGTAATCCCATTACTAAAAATCAAAGTGTGTGTCACTGAAGTGTGTTTGTGTTAGCCTACCTCATACACTTCATTCCACTTTGGGTGTAAATTCTCTTTGATGGTCTTGCTTTTGAAGTGTATGTTGCCCACTCTGAGTGTGGCATAGGGGTCTGATTTGCCTTTCACTAAACCCATCATGTATGTATCCTTAGCCACCAGATCTCTTGCCTCCAGCAAGTGGACCCTCACCACCCCCTAGGAAGAAAAAGCACATGATTCATGTTAATGATAGAATCTTTGTATAATTAACAAGTAAAAATAGGTTAAAAGAGCAAAAAGTATACAAATACAACGTATGTTGTCTTTAAATTCGCTGTGCTTACTCAAAAAAATCCAAGTAGCTGCTGGTTATAAGGTGAAGCTAAATGTGTGAATTGGAAATGTGATGGTACATACACGAGGAAGTGGAAACCTCATTTGGTCCATTTTGACCTGGTCTATGAGGGGAATACACATGCGGTTGGGCAACACCATGAGAGAAGCGATGATGTCTATGATAGTGTCCTCTGACAGTGAACTGTAAGGCAAAAGATGGAGTGAGACACATAAATATCAAAAAGTCTGGACGACCCTAAAGAGACAACAAGAGAATGATTCAATTTAAAAGCACCTCTGGGATTTTCTTACCCAAAAGCAGGGCTGTCCAGAACATTCGTCATGCCAGTCCAGTTTATTTCCAGTGTCTGAAAAAAATCAATTGGAGATCAATTGGAGATTTAAGCAATGTTAATCACATAACGGATTAAAATCTGTGGCCACTTACAGGGCGGCGAATGAAGAAAAAAGTGACTCCTCCCACCAGAGGTGCTTGACCAATAAGAGGCTCTAAAACAACTCTCATCATCCCCTGGAGCTGGAAGATTTAAAGAAAGTTTTAGAACAGTAAGAATATGACGCAGATGGATAGAGAGAAGACAGAAAAATGAGATGCTCACTTTAAGTCCTTTCACACCAGCTGTGATTGCTGAGTTCACCTGAGCTTCGATGTCCACATCACCAGCATAACTGCAGAGTGAACTGAGCTGGTCAGACATAAATGATAGCAAGAGAAAACAACATGCAGACTACTTGGAATTTATATTTTAAAAATGTGTTTGACCGACCTTAAGTTCATGTCCAGAATCACTTCCCTATGTTCCACTTCATGTGTGTACGCTCTTATTCCAGTGATCTTGAGAGGCTGAAAATAAAGAAGCATTTAAAGAAACTCACTCAGTCACAAAACTCATTGCATATTAAAGTGGACTTGAAGCAGTACAAAAAGGAATGGTGCATAAATCACAGCAACTCACCATGTGTCCAAAATGGATCTTGGTAAAAGTAAATGCTTTGAGTGCAGTATTGCAGGTCCTGACGGACTTTTGGATGTTTTCTCTTAAAAGCTTCTCCATGTAGATCCCAAAGAAGGGCCACGCCTGCTCCAACACCTGAACACATAATGAAAAACACCATGTGAAAACACCTTAACCAAACAGTAAATGGAATCTTACTTACAGTATACTTTTAAATTAGGTGAACTCGAAAAGGCGTATAGTATTAAACCTTTGTTTATCATTTCAAAGTCTCAGGCAATTAATATGATTTTTTTTAATAGTAATTAAATGAAAGATTGTCACTCATTCAGTCTGCTTTCAGCTAATTTATCAATGAACCCCCCCAGAGTGTTGATGGGACACATACTTGGTGTCATACCTCATAAAGCTCAGATGAGGTGGAGTAAGTGAACTTCAGTACTATACCTTGTTAAGCCACTGAGCCTTCTCCACATCGGTGAAATTCACCTTTAGGAAAAAATAGATTAAAGTTAGAAGTGGTTTTGTAAACATAATCTCCGTTGAAACTGTCCGCACAACATGCTGATATAAAGAGTGCAGAATTAGTCATGCAAATCTAATTCATTTAAAATGAACTCATCCAACTGCTTTAAAATGAGAATTTGGGTGTGCTGTATTTAAAATATATCTTGCACGAACTGAGACTTTGATTTAATTGTCATCAGGGGCTCTGTCATCAGCATCTTTCATGGTCATGGACACACGAACAGATAAGCCTGTAAGACACAAACTACAGCCATCAGTAAACTCTGACCTGGTTTCACAGCCACTGTGCATGCTGAACTCCTGTAACATTAGAAGAAACCTCTTTCATTGTCTGTCCTAACCCTTGTTGCGTGCCATGAGTCACTCTTTTGGGTGAGTGTGGTGCAATAAAAAAATGGACCAGCCTGAGTGTGTCTTGTTATGCAAAACAGTGCAAGGGAGAACGATACTATTTCCTACAGTTTTAAACAAATAAATGACATGGTAGCTTTTTCTACGATGACTGGAGAGCTGCTGACCTAAAGGGCTTTGCTGCCAGGCTGCTGAAGTGCTCTAAAGCAAAACAGATGCAGAGCGACAGTTTCTTACTGTACACATATTTACGCATAACCTACCCAAGATGCCATTTGTAGGGAACCTTTCAGCTCGGTGTTGATCGTGTGCTTTTCATTGTCCACAAAGTCAATAGCCGATCCGATCCGGGCGTCCTTCCACTGGCGATTTTTCTTCCACCAAGTGAGCACAAACATGCACAGCAGCACCCAGCTAATGCTGAGGCCCAGGTAACCCGTCAGGTATACGGGGTAGAAGACGAACACGGCTCTCCCGCAGTAAATCAGAAACTCCATTAACATGCGATTGACAGCCGAGGAGCTCAGATTCTCAGTGCTCATCGACGGGCTCTCCCCGAGCCCCGCTCCCTGCACCGGGCCGTTGGTGCTCCCCGGTCCGGGAGATGCCATTGGGTCGTTGTACGGCTGACGACTCGGGTCGGGAAGTCCAGAAAACCTATGTAGGCGCAGCGCCCGAACAAGCTGCTGTTTTGCGTATTTCGTTTTACAGAGCAGCTAAACCAGTCCGCCGCACTCTCCCTGCAACCATGACAGTCCTACAAACTTCCGCGTTCGAAACTTCTCATGGCAGGTAGACACACCTGTGCCCATGGGTGGGGAATACAGTCAGCTTAATTAAAAAAATAAAAATCAAACTCCACCCTAACAATAACTGTGGACCCATATATTCGATTTTTGATTTTTGACTTTACTTGATCGCCACAGCCATTTTCATCCTTTTAGCAAAACCCTCTTCCATCTGTTCTTCCAAATTTGACCTCTGTTCCTTTCACCTACATCTCCTCTGAAGTCTGTTCCAATCATCACTTTCTCCCCCTGAAGACACACTGACACCGTTTAGCATCAACCCTTTGATTTCCAGCCTGAAACCCATGATTCTGTCTGACAATTAAAAAAATAAAAATAAAACTCCACCCTAACAATAAACAAGAAAAAAAAAAACCATAAGCGTGGCTTTTGCGCACGCGCACAGAAAAGAAGAAAGAAAAATCTTTTTCAAATGGCGTGCACTCTTTCACTCTTTGGCGCAGCAGAAATCCAGATATAATAGTGCAGTGACTCACTGTGTGCTGCAGATAGCGCCAGAGTGCAGGCTACACCAGAGACTCTGATTTAAATAAAGCTCTGTGATGGCAACTCTGTGATTTCTCTCAGTGGTTATCAAACCGCGGGACACTATAACAGCGGACAGGGGCTCATTCTAAGGGCTCATGAGTGACAAGGCCCCTAGAAAACAGCCGAAGAGTCAAACTGTCATTTTTAACACGCGCTGCTACCTAACAGTAGGACGACCGTTAAAAGGGAAATCTGGGCTTCAAAAGCGACAGGTAAGAAATTTACCTCATAGCGAAGTCCACATGAAAGAAACTGCTTGACTTTCCCGGTGTTAGTTAGCTCACTTCATTTCTAAAAAATAATAATGTTTGGCTTGTTTTACCTAACATCAGTGCAGACAGACCATTTGTAAGCTTCTATGTACAAACGATCACTTATCTGACGACCTGCTAGGCCAGGTATACATTAGAACTGAAGAAGCTTCTCGGATGAGAGGTGAAACGTCTTCAAGCAACTTAAAGAAGTCCAGACGCCTTTCTTTGCAAGCTCCTTTGACTACGATGACCTGGATGACTGAGAACCTTCACAGACA